AAAGGAATTGTGGGTACGATTAAATGTCGATGAGGCCGAAAAGGATTCATGGTAATTGAATGTGGATGGCGCCGAAAGCATTTGTGGGTATTGAATATCAACAAGCGAAAGAAATGTGGATGAAGAATAAGGCATTGCTCGCCCATTGCTCTCCTGATCATGTAAAAAATATTTAGTAAAACAGAAACCAATTTTTCCTCTCCAAGAGAAATTATTTTTACAACTTTATTCGCTTTGGCATATCGCTGTGATATAAAAAAAACTGTGATTAATTCGTGTATTTACTCAACTTTCTTTTTGCTATTGATCGTTTTCAACCATTTCCATGAGATTCAAAAGACCGGAGCCATGTTGGAGGAATGAACAATATATACTAACGAGAAATCCTTTGTTAAAGTTCGATTCCTCCAAGATGGCCGCTGTGATAGTTAAAACAGGTTGTTTTTGAAAACGGATGCATATCGAAACGGGAAGAAGTTTGTATAGAAGTTTGAATATCATTACGTGCCGTACAGGACTACAAAAATCACCCAGATTGTGTCATATGATCGGCATACACGACTTCCATTCCAGCTCTTTTATCATTCCTAATATTCAAATCCCACACATTTGCTAAAAGGGGAAAGAATTCGTGCATAAACACAGCAGGACTCAAAAAAGATCGCTGAAGAGATCTAGAGTAACGAATAACAATTGCCAAACGGATATTCGGCACAACCGAAAGGAGCGCACGATGAGCGCCTTTGTCAGTGATAGCATATACTGTTATATACTGTTTTTATCAGTAATAGCTCTTTTGAGAGTAATAGCGTACTAAAAGCATCTATCTGAATAGTGATAGTATATTGTCTATATTCTAGCCTCAGCACGAGGTGGGGGTCCGTCAGATCCTGTCGAGTGTTGTCTGGTGCCGCGAATCGTGGTTAAGTGATGTGTGTTACGAAATTTATCGAAAAGAGCCCACACATCTCATTTTACTAACTATAACTACACGACTATAATGAAAGGTTCGGGTAGTTACCGTCTCGATTTTAATTGTTTAAAAACGTCGCCGGTCGATGTCACCCCCCGCGCGATTAGACAGGAAACATGCGTAACACAATGTACAATGTAGATGAAAAAAAATCACATTTATATCTTTCTCCTTTTGCGCAAGGATCCGACAATGAGTCGCTGTGACTCATTTTTTTCATTGAAAATGTTCCCAATGATAGATGTCCGATCGTTGAAAGATTTTTATCCATGATTCTTATCGCTCGCGCGTAGGCTGAGACCGAGGAGTGAGACGGCTTTAATAACGAGAAACTTGTAGCAAGGAGATTGAGACGTCTCACCGCCAAACATTTCTAGTATTCTCAGCATCTTAGAGAATATTTGAATTTTTTCCCACAATCATATAGAACACGCGTATTACCCATAGAATCATAAAGTCTGTTCTAAATTGTAGTACCGATGGCTGTTTTTAAATATATGTCAAGCATATATTCCAAATATGACATCAAAAGTATGCTCGTCTGTTGTAAATATTCCGGTCAACCTTTATGCGTTTGAGGTGAGACTCAATACGATTTCACTAAGGATGACTTTAAATGATTAATACTTTGTTTCGTCTATATTAGCATGCGTAGATTACGTTTTTGATCGAGAAGACTGGGGAATATAGAAAATGAAAAAGGAGAAAAAAATTAAATCCTCCCATTTCCACCCCATACCCCAAAAGAGCTTAGCAGGCTACGTCAACACAAGCCTTGTCAGCAGACAATTTAAGTGCATTGTCATGTAGAAAGGCTTTTGGAGAGCGTCTTGTTTATAATGTGATGTTCAGATGATACAATCAAGGAGAAATATGAATAATAAGTGACAATTCTCCAAGATCCGGTAATAATTAACACAAACTTTGTAATTTCCACAATCTAATCATACATCACTATGACTCTTGACCAGTTAGATGGCGACGCTCAGATAAAAGATAGGAAACCAAGCGAACTGCGCCACGACCATTATGTCGAGCATCGCTGTGACATTTTTGTTACGATGGACATGTTGCCAAGTAACGAGAACGATAAAAGCGTCCGTCAGCACTAACAGCAGACGTTTTTGAAAATACTATTAATAGATGAATCGATTTTAAAATTAATTGACTAGACTGTCGCAAGGGCCATTTTTACCAGTTCATCTTATCTCCCGAGAAACAGCCTCAAAAATGAAATATTACGATTTATTACGAAAAAAGTGCGAATTGTCTGGCAAGTCTATGAATTGACTTCAATTAAGAGCAACCACAGCTATTTATCAAAGAAAGGTTTTATTAAAGGCCCAGTTTGCACCATTATGCTTTGCTCGGCTCTGTTGTTATGATTTACACCAAAACACTTCTAGTATCCAAATATCATCATAAAACGAATGGAAACTCTAATATATTAGCTCCGTTTAAAGTACTTAGAAAAGTGAGATAGTCAAAGATTCGAAACACACAGTACAATTTATAGACTTTCGGTAACTGAAAATGGCCGCCTCCCTGCCCCCAAAGCATAATGGTGCACACTGGGCCTTTAAAGGCAATGAGAATGAACTTGTTGTCGTGTACAGTTTGAGAAGATTTCTGGTTCAGCCTCAGGCGAGGGCTACTCAGACACATACAAATTACTGTCATTGAGGTGCGAGTTCTCGACTCAAGTGATACTTATAAATGTCCGTTTAACTCGAGGATTGCCTTAGGGGAGGAGGGGCAGGATCATTTTTCACATGCTGTATTCATTAAGAAATATAAAATGGACGCGAGTGTTTCTGTTCGCTGATGTAAACACAGTACGAGCATGCGAGCGAAGGGAAAACTCTTTTTTGCTTTTTGAGTACTCGATCTCCATCGCCTATCGAGTATCGGCTCATAAGAGAGAACACAGACACAAGCGGTCGCTTTTCCATTAAATAAAATTCTTTTGTCTATTTCGAGCATGCGAGCGGTAAACCAAGTCTCTGTTCTTTATGTAAACACGGTCATCAGCCAATGAGAGTGCGCGTTACATCTCTAAACGTTTATAAATACGACTTGAACTTAAGGTGACGGCTCTCGGACATCTAAAAATAGCGCTCATTCTTTGACTCCTCGAATTGCTGAAAACACTTGTGAGTCTTCGAGTGGACGAGGTGGAAAAAGCGTGGCTACGTACGAGTGGAAGCAGCCTTTATGTTACATATCAACCAAACACTTCAACGCTAAGTCATCACGAAGTACACAACAGCAATTTGGGGTGTTGTCCATTAACAGTGAATGGAGTGGACGTAAAATTAACTTTAATTGACGACAGATGTGGTAAACTTTCGGCCAAAAGTAAGGCCCATCATGTCACCATACAACGGCAGACACAAAGGGGATTCGTCAATGGATGGCACGCGAGTAAACGCTTTAAGARCGCTTAATTAATCCAACTTTAGATTTGAATTTGACCTAATCTTTTAAGGGATCTTGTTTTATCATTCTTGTCAAGAAATCATCGATCGGCCGCGCGTGTCTCTGATCCTCTAATATCAACACCGTGGGAGAGCATAAGAGAAAAGAAATCTTACAAGTAGAGTGTCTCCCTTGCTTCTCGTATGCTTTCAAACCATGTCTCGCCACTGATCATCAGCCAATAAAAGCGCAGGTTATATCTCAAAATATTATAACACCCAATCCTAATTCAGTTACTTTCGAATTGAAAAGTATAAGTTATAGTGGATCACACAAATGGATTAAGTACTATTCTATATTTACATCATATATTAAATTCAATCTTTAAATTATTCCAGTTCACATAAGCAATAAGAATGGGATTCCCATTCCATTTTTGGGCTTCCTGTGTTCGATAAAAAAGATTGATGCGTAAAGGCCCTCTTGGGATCCCTATGTACGAGGGTCCTCTCAAAGACGGTCCGCTACGCAGGCTAGGATAGAAATAGACGGTTTTATTTGTGCTTTTTGTCGTGAAATTAAAGGAACCTCTTTAYTTTTTGTAATACACAGCCTGACCCTTCCCTACTCCCGTCTCTTTTGCCCGCAGTGCATCAGAGAACGGAGTGAATTGCTCGTACGCGAAAGGCAACTAGCGACGAGTCAGAATACAACGAACAGTTGCATTATATAAAGCTTTCAGCCATGCTAATAGACATGTTAAGAATATGGGACTCCATACCTCATTCCACAGGGAGCCCAACTCGAAAATGGTTCAAAATACACTAGGTTAAATAAGTTAAAGATTTGAATTTCTTTGCACTTTAAAAACTTTATTTTTCCTTGTTTTAAATAAGAACGCTTTTAATTTTCTAAGGTTATGCGTAAATTTTCTGACATAATATTATAATCTTTACGCATCTCCCGATATATTTGTGAACATATAATGTATGTTTCGAGATCCGATTCGTTAACTTGTTCTGTTATCTGGTGGTCCACCGGTTAACACTTGGTCGGATTACTTCAGATGACCGGTATACAAGAAGGACTACCG